TGCACTCTGAAGATGCCGGTCACAGGTGCTGGCGAAACATTAGGAAACAAAACTTCCAGAATACGGCCACACAGCCCGGAAGACCCACACCAGCCATCAAAATATATATTTGTTTCTTATATGTCCTTAGAAATTAGTTTATTGTGAATATAAGACTGTTAGGCCTCCTACAATATAGTCAAATGTAGCACGATTGTGATCCAGTCTGTTCTGTTCTGGCTTCATCTTCAGGTCATTGATCTATACTGAATATAGAAACATTTCAGAGATCTTATTAATGCTTTGCCTCCACAGATGAATTCTAGTCCTTCATGGAGTGATGACAAAGAAGGAAATCTTACGGAATTAGTACTTCAGAATGAAATTAAGGTTTGTATGCATTGTGTTTTTCTCAAAAACTGTGCAATAGGAGATCATGACCACAGATTAATGTCCAGGCGAGAAGGGGAAAAGGAAAAATGGGAGTGAAAGAAGAGCTTTGAAGTATTTCCTAGTATTTTTGTTTGATAAATAAAATAGGTAAGATATAAATGAGATGTATTTGGAAATACATCAAATCAAATTTTTTTAAAAGTGAAGAAGCTTATATTAATATAGGCAAAAGTTAACTTTTCAGAAGTTGGTGAAAATGATAAAAGAATAAAAAAGAATAAAAAGAAGTAGAAACTGCTGACAATGATAGCATTTTACATTTAGAAAATACGTATTCTGGATCTTGGTTCAACTACCCCACATACCCCTTTTCTCAATTTTTTCCCCCATGAAAATTATCTTTTTCTATATCAGTTGAAATGGAATGGAAAAAAACAAATCTAGGGTAATTGTCTTTTTTTTCCTGCAGTGGTGATTATTTTTTCTGTTTTCAGCTTAACCATTTGCCTTTAAGTTTGGCAAACTGAAGTTCCAATTGTATCACAAATTAAAAACTTTAAATAAATTTGATCTGTAAATTCATAATTATTATTTGAACAATAATAATGGTTTTTTAATTATAAACTGCATACTTTTATAAGCAAACCAAATTATAAATGTTTTAAAGTAACACAGTTACTTTATATCAGTGAAGGATATTAAGAATTAAATATTGTATATATTTCAGTTTTTTCCAAAAAGAAACTTTAAAATATATTGGAATTTTATGTTTCTAATCATGACATTCATTTTAGAAATGGAATAAGCAATTCAGTGCTATGTTCTATGTATTTTTTATTGTCAGATTTCTATCGTTAGTGTCCCTTTTAATGCAGTTTATGAAAAAATCACTGTGGTATTAAGGTCTCTGGTTTGGAATTCTGTCCATGAAGATGAGACATTCCACTTCTTGACCAGAAGAATCCAAATAATAGTTTTCATCTATTCGAGTACTGTGAATCAACCCTCTGAATTCGGGCCACAACTATCTAGTATCTTGGATAGAGCAATATGTCCTATTAATTAATAGAGTAGTTATTTCCCAACAACAGTTGGAGTAACATATAACCTTTATAATTTTGTCTTACTTGCATGAAAAAAAACACCTCCTTATGTTAAAACAAGCACTTTTTTTTTTCATTTATCATCACCAAAGATTGACCAGTTGACCAAAGACTGGACAAATAAATGGATTAACAGAAAAGCTATTATGGAAGAGTACAGTGTGGATATCAACAAGAAAAAAGCTGGAGTGACAATAGACTCCAGTTTACCTCATTTAATGGCCGTGGATGATGATATCCTTAGTACTGGAGTCGTACTGTATCATCTCAGGGTGAGATGAGATCTCTATATTTGGCTATTTCTTTGAAATGACGCAAGCCTTAATTATGAATTATGAATAGAAAATGTTGAATCGGCAGTATTTGCTTAATAATGTAATTTATAATAATTGAAAAGGTTTTGAAAAGGTTCAGAAGATAGAACTTCTAAATGTTCATATTCTAATTTAAATATTTCTGCTGCTATGTCTAATATATTATTTGGGCTTTATAGTAAAGTTTTGTAGGGGAAAACCTCAGATATTAAACATCTGAGTAGCATAATCAACAACATAGTAATAAAGACTAGCAGTAAATTTGGATAATTATCTGTATTCTTAAAATAGTAGGAGGATGTTCTATCTTTACCATGATAATCAGGCTTTATTGCATAATGGGGTTTAATATGTTTGCCTTTTGTTATTGTTATGATTTGCATTTTTATGTCACCCAAGCCCATAATTATAATTGCGATTACTGTAGTTTTTTACTTTAAATCTATCAGTATGCTGAAAAAGAAAATACAATACCTATGTATGAAATATTTGTGTCTTTGGTAATAAATGTATACATTTTAAAGTTTTTAAAATTATTATTAACTGTTCATATGTATGCTCAAAGTACGCAAATAGCTGTAGTCTTAGATGGTAAAACACAAAGGAAAATGGATAGATTAAAAAGAAATGCATTTTAAGAATCAGCATTTATACCCCAAAAGAAATAGAACGTCCAACTTGTTAATCACTTGCCTAAGAGAAATATCACTTATAAGGAAGTTGTAATATAAATTATAACATCTGTGCATGTTATCTGTGCATATAACATATGGCATGTTCGTTTTTAAAGTATTTAAAATATGTTGATCTTATTTTTTATTTATGTATCTAAAGCAACATTGTATTTAGAATTCACAGGTTATGCTTTGTATAAAATTTTCGGCTGAGTTTATATAACCCAGTACTTTTCTTAAAACGTTCCAATTTAGGCTCCTTTCCGATTAATCATTAAGTACAGGAGCTTAACCTTGGCTTGAGGTTACCTCAATGACTATTCATTAAGGTTAGGTTTCCATCCTCCTTTATCTTCTTTCTGAGGCCAGTTTTCTGAGCTGTTGTGAAAGCGGTGTTGTCAGTCTTCTGGCAACACAGGCCTTGCTACACATACAGGGTGTGGCACTTTCGTTGCAGCTGTGGTGGCGATGGGTCAGGGGCTGGGATCTGCCCAATTCCTACTGTCCTCTTCTGGCCGGCTGGGCTGTGGGAGTAGGGCAGGCTGTCCACCCCGAGAGGTTTGCCTTTTCTTCTGCAGGTGGATATGTGACTGACAGGCAGATATTTTAGCAAGGAGTGTTTGCTTCTGATAGCTCCTGTGAACCGTGGACAGCAAAACTGTCCTGCTGAGCAACCTGCCTGTCAGCCCCCACCCACCCTGTGGATCACCTCCAGCTCCATGGGGCATGGTCATGGCCTGGGTTGGGGGTTTCCAGTAAAGTAGGAGGGGAGAGGCTCTCCTGCTTTATTGGAGAGGCTCTCAGTCCCAGATCCATGGGGCTGGAATGATGAGCTGCTCTAGCCATCTGTCAAAATGCGTGCCTTCTTTCATCCTCTCCCCACATTAGGGAGAATGATTGTTGGATGTTTTCCCTGCCAGCAAGGAAATCTACCCATCGCTACACCTTAACCTGCCCTGCGGTAAACGTTTAGGACAATGCCACTCATGAACCACGTTAACGAAGCAGAATAGGCATACTTGATGTCACTTTGGGGACTGGAGACCATTGCAGAGATGATAGAATGTCCATCCTTATTATTGGTATTTCAGCACAATTACAGTATTTTGAGATAATTATGGGGGAATGTACGAAATTAAGGAATTTGTGTATATGTGCACTAATACATCATATTCTCTTGTTTTTTCTAAACTAACATCCATTGCTTAAAATACGCATCTTGTTTAATTTCAGATGGCAAAAAATATTTCAGACAATTTGCCTGATGAGCTTTTTTCATCTTAAAGTTTTGGTGCATGCAGGATTTCGCAATTGACGCAAATGCCGTACTTACTCAGCCGAATTATTTTCCCTCAGTGTTCAGTTAGAACAAAAACCTGGACTCTTTTCACAAGCCTGTTCAGGAGTTTGCCAAGATTACGAAGAATGTCTGTTGTGGCAGAGCAATAGCTCTGACGCAGTGGAACAGCTGGCTGGATGTTTGGGGATTTTGCAATCCTACTACATCAGATTTAGGAAGACTGCAGCAGAAAGATTTTTTAAAAATAATTATTTTAAATGTGTATATGCCGGTCTTCATAACAAAGCAAAACAGGTCTTTTTTCCCCATGTTAATTAATTTACAGTACTTGAAAGAGGCTGAGGATATTTTTATATAGCAAGAAGCCTAGTTTGCAGTTTTTATCAACAGGACCCTTATTAAACCCTTTGAAGTCTCTTTCATTAACACTACACTAACAACTTTGTCCCCTCTTTCTTTGCTTCTAGATGCTGCTTTTTCTTTTCTTTATGCTTTGCCTTTTTAAAATTCAGGTATCTGTTATTTCATCTGAGGAACGAGAAGGTAAAATGTCGTTTTTCCTTTCCATAATCAAAATGCTGCTGTGCCATGGGTATGAGTGGCAAAGAAGATGCCTATATTCTTCTTGTTACCTATATTTTAACATGCCTATTTATGGATCTTTGGCTGATGGCAGCAGTCGCTGTAAAATTAGAAATATAGAATTACATTGTAATGAACTCTCTTGAGGGGAGAAAGGACCATTTGTGTTACTGAGGCACATGTTCTCTCTGTCTGATGGTACATATCTCAGTGACACAAATGTTTCTTCTTCTTACCAAATTAAAAATTGAATGGAAACTGGAAACTAGCTAGAGTTTGTACCTGCCTTCTTCCATCCTGCTGCTGGTGTCTGATGGCAGCAGGTAAGTGCGCAGAGCCTCAGGTCTTAATTGCTCCATGAGCAGTGAGATTCCTAGAAACACTTTTATGAGTAAATGAGTATTCTTGGTGTGCAAAAAATTCCATTTGGGAAAATCTTTGTTTATGTTTCACTTAGGTTGGCTCCTTTTCTTATTGTTGTCATCCATTTTGCTCTAATTGGAATGATGCCTCCCCAGAACATTCAGATGGGGTAGTCGAACCAGTAAATATAAACAAGAACTACTTCTTACTGAACATTTAAAAAAACAAAACAAAACACTTCCATAGCCTTCCCTGCTAGAGGAGTACATTGAAGGCTGTGAAACTAGACCTTCAGATAAGTTCCAGAAAAATATTTCACAGTAAAACCCTCCACGTAATTAATGCTGATCCTACCTGAGACCATAGAGCTTTTCTCTAATTTCATATAAAAAGTTGACATTGGAATTGGTGATGCGTCCTCCGTGATGTTCAATGGCAGTAGGCTAGCTTAGGGAGCACAGGGCTGGCAGCATGGCACGTAGCTCTGTCCTTCGTCAGAAGGTGAAGGGCTGGGGGCTCCGAAGGAAACAGCTGTCATTGCTCCCCAGTCACACCCCAAAATCTGTGCCGAGGCAGCTAGCTATCAGTTGCAGGATCAAGCTTGCCCTTCTAAAACTCACTTATCACATTTTGTGTGCATATTACTCTATTAGGCAAGAACAGAATAAATTTTATTTCATACATTATATTTGTTAATTTCCCTAGGCAAGAAATACTTTCCACTTTTATCTAGAAGTAAATCTGTTTAGTTGCATCTACAGAAATGAAATAATTGTGGATAAAGGCTACAGTCTGTCATTTGACTTGTTTTACATATTCCATTAAATAAAGGTTACTTTGTATGCCAGATTATAGTCCAACATTATTTTTTTGATTTAGGATTGTAATTTTTTTAAACATGTTTTAGAAGACATTTTACATGTCAAATGACATTTTCCTCTTTTGGGTTAAAATAATCTTATACAGGGGGCAGGTAATAGCTAAGGTAGTACAGTTGCACCTCAGAATTGTATATAATTTGGGAATCATGTAATCCATTATATTTACAGTAGCATGTAATGTTATCTACTTGAAAATGTATGCTTTGGTTTTTCATTTTACTTGGGGCATCTCTTTCATATTTATTTAGATAATAGAACTCTAAAGTGAAGTGTGCCAATATTACTACTGTAATGTTTTCTTTCTCCTTAGGTAAAGTAATACATCCTATAAAGTTTCTTTCTTTAAACGTGTTTGAACATCGCTTTCATAAGGAATATCAAAAGTGTTGGGATAATTAGGTAGACTTTTACATTTTATACATGAACAGCTCATAGATTATCAATGGAATATTTGTACATCTCTCCTTTACAATTGGGAATTCAGAACATACCTTAAAAAGTCAGAGTATACACACAAAGCTAAAATGTTGCACATAAACATGAATAGTAATTCATATTTTTTAGTTTGAGAGGAACAGGTTAATTCCTAGAAACAGATAGGAAATGTGCCTTGTTTACACCCTAACCAAAGATGTAGGTCTTTGGAAAACTGGCATTTGGCAATAGTTCAAGAATTGAAAAAGAGAAAATTTATTATTAAAAATGGAGCTAAGCTGTATGTCTGGTAAATAGATATGACACATAAGTAGTCCATTTGTGGAAAAATCAGGAAAATGGGTTATGTTTGTAATATTACCGAAACATAGAAAAGGTGTTTCAAATAATTTCATGTTAAAGTTTCTGATTGAATACAGACTAGCTTATGTTGTATATAATGCAAAATCTGTAAAATTTGGGTGCATGCCGTCTAGAGTTATTGCTGTCAAAGAAAATCCCTTATTCAGGTAAAAGTTGTTAAAGCAAGTAATTGCTGTGTGCTAATATTGAGAATGAAACTAACTTAATTTAGTGTGATTGTCTCAATTTTTTAGGAAGGAACAACCAAAATTGGAAGAAGTGATTCAAACCAGGAGCAAGATATTGGTAAGAATTATGAGTTTACAGGCTTAAGATCCCCCTAATTAAAAGCTTCATTATGGGTTCATTTATTGGGAATACGTGTACATAAAGTTGCCAAGAAAACTGCTTGTACATGTTCATGAAGTCACCAGGAGTTGAGCTTAATTTAGAGGAGATTTGACTGATTTTTTACAGTGACCAACATTAAGTTCATAAAATGATGTACATTTCCATAGGATATTATATTCCATTCCACATGTAATTAAAATAACATTATAAATTGGATAATTTATGTTATAATGTACTATAATTGGTAATAAATTATACTTCAGTGCAATCAGCTACAAAAGAAGATCATTCTGTCAAAAAATGGTTATGCTAGGTATTGTGAGGAAGGTAAATCCTGTGTGGTAAAGAACCATTCTTTAAGTATGTTTATTGTATTGAGATTGGGCCAGTTTTGATGGAGTAAATTTTAATGGTTGAACAAAATTTTGAACACTGGTATGTGTAAACATCCAGGTATTCCCTTCAGCCCATATACACACCCTCACATGCATAGACCACACACACTGCTCCTCATCTCTCGTCTACCCATATGTGTACACATACCTGGGAAGAAGGAAGTATGAGGCACCATCATTTTCTCCAGCAACCTGCTTTTATTAGTGATTTTATTAAAATTAATGATTTTAAGGTTAGTCACTGAGAGGAAGATGGAAAGATGCCCTCAGAAGAAAGGGCATAGACACTGTTCACCTCCAAGCGGTTACTTGGAAAGTAATGGTAAACCTAGCAGTCAGCTGTGAACTGGCAGTCTTCTACTGCATTAGAATGGGTTGTGGAAGAAGGGAGAAGCAAAAAGGTGTCTTCTTTCCTCTAGGAACCAATGCAGATTACTGGCTTCCTCTGAAATAACTTTCGGCAAGCAGTCTGATCCAACCAGCCAACATATTAACCAGAGTAGCTGGTTTGTGAGCACCAGATTGCTGGTTTTCCACTAGTTATAGTAACAGCAAAGTAGCAGTCCATTTCCTGCTACTCAGCTGTTCATACTGGTTAACTAGTGGGGAAAGTAACCAGGGCTCCCTGCAAGCTATCCATCCATGTCTTCATTATTTTAGGCATTGTATAAATTATTATTACTAATCATAAACATATCAATTCTTACTAGTTTTTCTAGATACACTGAAGTTTTGAAATCCATATACTTTGTAGTGTTGCAGGGTCAGTGGATTGAAAGGGACCATTGTACTGTAGACAATCGGCATGGGATTGTGACTCTGCGGCCTCTTCAGGGAGCACGTTGTGTTGTAAATGGTCACGAAGTAACTGATTCTGTTCGTTTATCACAAGGTAAGTAATATACTGTTTTTTAAAACAACTTTATTGCCATGAGCCACATCATGGTGATATGGTAAAATGACTCAAGAATAATTGTATTCTTGTAGTAGGATCATAAAGTGCTTTCAAACATTCAGTACCTTAATCATAACCATGCTTGCTTACTTCTGAACCAGTGCTCGTAGGACTGCAAATAATTTCTAGTTACAGAAAGTATGAATGCAGTAATTGTCATAATTCATTTTATTTAAAAGAAAATAAGGTTGAGATGTATTTGTATTATCTAAGGACATATTCCATTCAAATATATCATTGATCCATGATGATCATTAGTTTTATTTCCACTGTGCATAGTTTTGTCTTGAAGATCTTGATGAAAGAGTGCAACAGAATGTCTTTGAGTTCAGAATTTGATGTTCACAGAATTTGTAGTGCAAAGATTCATACCTAAAGATGAAATCAGATATAGAACTAATAGTAGCTACTGACAGTTCTATCCTCCACAGGTTTATCTAGTCCCTTTAAACCCCCTTTAAAATCATCTAAATCGGTGACCATCATACACATTTTTCTTCCTCTTTCATAATATTGGAACTCATGAGTCACCCATGAAATTTTTTAGCAGTATAATCAGGACAAACAAAAGAAAGTAATCCTGCACATAACACATAATCTATGGAATTAACTTTATAAGATGTTAATGAGTGCATTTCTATATCGACTTTCAAGCATTTGCAGCACTGTTCCCCCTTACTATGGGGGTGTTCTGTGGGGATGACTATTTACCCCAGCTAATTATTTCATGAACATCAGAAAGATTTAACTCCCTACCTTCTGTGCTAACAGAGGGGAGATAGAACACTATTTACTATAATTTGTATGCCGTTCCAATCCAATTCTGGAGACTCTGAGTGACTTCCAAAATAATGCAAAAATTACTATAAAATTACAATGAAACAACAACAAGACAAAAAACAGCCTCAAGAAACTACTGAAAGCATGCAGGCCCATACAGGAAGGTTTCCCTTATCACAAATCAACTCCTAAGGTTCTCTAGAGTAACCAGGCTTTGTGACTTTCTGAAAAAACAGAGGGATAGGAGTCAGTCTAGTCTCACAAGGAATGCTGTTCCGGAAAAGGAGGCAATGACTGAGAAGACTTGTCTCCTTGGTCCCTGGAGATGACATTCCTTAACAGAAGGAACCTGGAGAGTGCACATCCGTCACGATCTTATTGAGCAGGCAGAAGAAGTCAGAGGAAGAAGCCACTGGGAGAAGGCAGTCCCATAGAGATTCAAGTCCTAGGTGGTGTAGAGCATTAAAAATGGCATCCCGCACCTTGAATTGCACCTGGGAAGGAAGTGGTATATCAGTACTCAGTAACATACCTACAGTGTCCCTGTCACCTGGGGGATATTGAGTCTGTTACCTAAGTTTTAATGCACTGCCCTTTTTACATAGGTTGGTATGCAGATTTAATAATCCTCCTATTGTTAAACTGCTCTGGCCAGGCTGATGATTTTGCCTTCTGGGTGATGTGTCTCCTCAGATGTCAAATTAATTTCCCATACTGTGGTGAAAATTGATTGGCATTTAATGTTCATTCATGTGTCTTTGTAACTTATTTTATTGTTCCTTTATTTTACTTTATCTTTCCTGATTGTTTTAGTTCCTTGTATTGCTTTCTTTTTGGAATTTGTATTTTTCCATTATTTGGTCTCTGTAAAGAAAGTCATGCAAATATTTATAGGATGATGGTGATCTAAAGTTTGGGGAAGGTTAAGGAAAATAAATAAATATCGGTTTTAACCCATTTTAATCCCCTGAGTAGAGCAGGAAAGAAATATAAACATGTTGTTCAGTTGTTTCTGGCTCTTTGTGACTGGTGGACATGAGTTCTTCAAGATTATTTGTACTGTGAATATGCATAAAAATAATTTCACAAAAGTTTAACTATCCTTATTTTCTAATTTTGTTTTTTTCTTCCCTCCTTCTTAGGAGCTGTAGTTATTCTGGGCAAAGCTCACAAATTTAGATTCAACCATCCTGCTGAAGCTGCCCTTTTAAGGCAGAGGCGTTCGGTAAGTTTAGAGTGCATTATATATATATTTTTCTTTCCCAATTGCTAAATAGGGGAAAACATTTTTAATGTTGTATATCTGTTAGCCAGTAAAGTTAAGTGTTTCCAAAAGGCATTGAAAAGAAAAAAGAAAAAGCTATGATATATGATTCATTTGAGAATTCACAGAATCTTTTATGATGGTTCTTCATTGTGGTCTTAGTGTCTTATACACATTGGTTATGCACCTCTGCAAAGCTATTCAAAATTTTGTAGAACTTGCAGAATTTTTTGCAGGTGTCAACACATATATACTACACGTGACTAGGTGTGGCTCTCTCTCTAAACATATCTTCCCAACAGCTGTCACTGTCTTCTTGGATTGACCACTGAGCTTTGTGGTATCAACTTTGCCGTATCCCAATCATTTGGCATATATTTCTTGGGATAACTCATGATACTGTGATGCAGATACGCATGATTCTCCTTGTATATTCTTCTCTTCCCCAGCATAAACATGCCTAAGAATTATCTTTTTTTTTTTTTCAAATAGTTTCATAATCAGCAATTTCCTATGACATTATTTTTCATCCCTGTGGCATTTCTGCTCTTCAGGATGCCTCTGAAGCAGTTTTCCACCTTTTTCATTGTCAAGAGTTAGATTTAGAACATCCTCTGATGTTCCTCATCCCAAGAACACTGCAACTATCATTACCATGGAGATTTGCAGATCTCTCAGAAGGAGATGGCTGTGTCTTTGATACCTCTTTGGTCCAGTGGTTTTTTTCATCTGTTTTGTTACCCAGTGCTTACGTTGGTGGCCAAGTATCTAGCTGTTCTTCCAAAGGTCTCCATTCCTAAAATTAGCAGGGTTTTTTTTGAATAGTATAATATCTTTGTCTGGAAGTTCAGCAACCATCTCAGGTTATGGAAGAGCCTGTTTGCCAGCTAGTGCAAAGTTCTTCCTCCAGTCCTAAGTCCCATGCTTCCAGTCATGCTGAAAACAATGAAAGACTCCTAAGCTAAAGTGGCCATTGTGCCATGAACTTCTCATCATTTGGAGAATCTCTGTAAGATAAAAGAAGGCTGCCAATTCTTATTTCAACATCTACCACTAGTTTCTTTATAGTGGAAATGTCTCAGGTTCCTACCATCAGCATTATTTTACATACAAGGACATTTCAAAATATATTTCCCATCCATTCAGAAACTTTAATATAATGCCATATCCTATATAAAAATAAATAAATATTTCCTAGATGAGTACTTTTTTCTCTCCCTTTTTTTCACCAGGCTTGCATTGGCAGCCAAAGCTAGATCAGGGATCTCTCTTTTTATGAAGATGGCTTATTTAGTACTAAAACTATCAATAAGTATATTGTCAGGTTCCAGAAGTTGCAGGTTGATGGTACACAAATCGGATCTCTAGTAGCCTTACTTTATACCCTCTTGCAACCAGCTATGGTGTTGCTTCCATCTTAAATAGAGAACACCAGTTTTCAAATGGAGAATTCATACCACAATGTATGAAGAGGCAGTCAGTGGATATTGCTACTGTCTCTTCATTCTGCACAACAGAGCCTTAGGAACCAGGCTCAGAGCTCCATGCGGTGTCTTTGACCTATGGTGACCTTCTATTGAGGGACTACTTGCCTGGTTTTCAGATTACATACACCTCTATAACTAATGATCTGTCAGTTTGGTGTATTGTTTCCCCAGGTTATCACACTGAATTCTAGACCTACCCCATGCCTAGTTGCCCAGTTTGTTTTAGGGTACTTCTGGAATTACAGAAAGGGGTGATTACATGTGTATCTCTAGAGGACTGTACTCCTGCCTCTTATTCAAGATACTTTACCTTTCCCAAAAAGGATGACAGACTCAGATCTAAATTGGATCTTTGTCACTTTAACTGCTTGTTAAAGCTTTCCTGTTTCAAGATGACCTTGATCATTTCTGTTCATCCTGTCCTACGCGAAGAATGTCTTTTGATACTTTCATATATCCATTCTGCTCTATCACCACTCTTTCCTTCACTTTATAACTGATGGTTGTATTTCACCATTTGGTTTCTTAATAACCTCTAGAGTTTTTCCTAATTGCATTGCATCAGTGTAACATACATTTGCCTGAAAGGAATATATTATTACTCCATCTGGATGACTGCCTCTTTAGTTGGGCCATCCCATACCAAGCTTTCTCATAGATATCTCAGATGTTTTTCCTTTTACATGACTTGGGAGTTCAGATCAATTCTGGGAAGTCTTTCCTCATTCCTACATGGATTATCCCATTCATAAGGGAAAAAATAGATGCTTCTAGGATTGCCACCTTCCTTCTGCTGCCCAGCTAAATATAATTCATGGTTTCACACCCAGGTTCATCTGTGCAATGAGACTAAAGGCCTGAATTGCCCTTTACCTGCTCGACCATATTGTAGCGGTGGACTTGGTTATTCTTCAGAGGAGCCCTTTACTGGCATAATACCTGTGCACTGTCTCCCAGGTTCAGGTGTCAGATGGCACAGTCTCACTCTTGTATCTGGTGGCTAGTTATAAACACTCTCCTTGAGGATATAGCTTTCATATTTCTCTCACCATTGATGCTTCCATTTCATTGTAAACACTCCTATAGTTTTCTGGTACCCAAGGGAATACATATGGGACAAAGTCTACCCTGCTTCTTTTGCAAATATGGCACTGGTATATCACACAGTTACTCTGGTAACCTATATGCCAGAGTTTAGAACATTCAGGTCATAGTCTGTCATCATTGCATAACACTTTGATTCATGGCTAATCCTACAATATGAAGGTGAAATTAGATCTATGTTTGAGCTATTCAGATACTGGGCTCCAGGGAATAGGGACTATATTCCACAATAAAACTCGGCAAGAATGCGGATCGCAAATAGATTAATCCCTCTGTGGTTTTGATTTTCTTCCATATCATTTGTTTTTGACAGATCTGTGAAACTTCTTCTGTAGTGAATTGTAGATCTCTTGAATGGCTAGATCTGGATGGAGATTTTCCTTCCCTTTCCTGTAGCTTTTATCCAGCTGAAGCAGAAAGGTAGGTTAAAAAGGATTTAACTAAACAAAGGTGCCATTTTTCTAGATTCTGTATTTCTTTAAGGTGACAAAGTTAGGATTAATTTCTTTTTACAATATACATGAGCCAGTATTAGAATTAAGTCTTCCACTGTTCTATGGTATTGAATTAACCAAGCATTTTATTTATTTCATTTTTATTTCAATATTTATATAAATAATATTTTTTTCATTTTGAGAGAACTTGAAAATGTGTGAGGATGTGGAACATGCCTATTAGATCTATGCCAACAGAAAATCAAATAATTATGTATTACAATTATATGCAGTGAAAATATATTGTTTGTTTTCACAGTATACATTCTACAGCTGGCAATGAATGCAAGTCTTCTAAAAAGAGGTAAGGAGATAAGCTGGCCTATAGCTAAAATCAGTTGATTGGGTGATGAAATTGCTGAAGGATTGCAAACTAGGATTTTGTGTAATTTGTGTATCTGTGAATTATATACCTAAAAATAGCATCATAATTATCCTCAATTAATTATATTGCCAATTAGGGGCATTATCTGTTTTCTAAATAACATTACACATAACTTAATAATTTATTGTAAGAGTGAGAATCAGAATTTCCTGTTTATGGAAGTGGATTCATGCACCCTCATCAATATATGGATTTTCTGGTCTCCCAACTCTATAGTCATTGGAGATGCTGAGAAGAAAGATCAGAACAGAGTAAAACCGAGTGGTTTGGGTAAATTTAGCTTTTGTTAGTTAATTAGATTTGTATTCCACCTTAAATCTAGGAGCTCAAGACAGTATATACAATACTCTGTTTCTGTTTTTCTCCTCACAAAAATCCTGTGAGGCAAGTTGGATTAAAAGATAGTCACAGGCCCAAAGTGATCTAGTAGGCTGAGGGTAGAGTGGAACTTAACTCCGCCCCCCCGTCCTTGCCCATTGGTTCAACTTTTATAATATACCAGCTTCTAGATAGCAGTCTAGAAACTTCAGGTATTCAATGGTATGTATAGATATTAAATAACTAATACTCCTTGAGTGTGATAGTATTGGGCAATATTTGCCCATCTCCAACATTGCCATTTTGAGGAAGATTCAGAAAAAAGTTGGGGCTTGTTTGAATTTTGGAAGAAGCAAATTTGGGGGTGGGGTTGCCTCCAGAGGGCTTAGTAGTTCATCTAATGTGTTGACCTTACTGAAAGAGGTAGGGTGGACATTTGTGGCCTTTTTTGTGAGGGGGTATTTGGAGAATAAAGGTGAGAATTGACTTTAATTTGTGGGGGGAGCCTCAGCAGTAAGATCATTGGCCAGTGGAATGCAAATGAGATGCTGAACTGTAGACTGTAGATTGCCTGCCGTTGATACAGAGTAGTAGTTTAGATGGTTGTTGGGCTTCATTGATTATTTTCTGTAACTGGGGGATCTAAAATAGTTGTCTCTATTGCTGTTTATTTATAATGCAACTTTCACAGCTGCCTGCTCATATAAGAGTCTGGAGGAGAAATTTTGTTATTGTCGTTGTCCAGGGAACCTTGTCCATCACTGATTTTCTTACTGAAGTATCAGGAATAAGTTTAAAAGGGATTCCAGTATTTTTTGGAATATTATCTGCAGTCTGTCTGCAAAACTTTTAAATTCTAGGGCTTTAATATGCAATCCAGTGACATAAATCCACGTATGCAGAGAATACCATGAAGAAAGCCATGGAGATATGAGTATCAAGCTGACCATGGCTATCCAAAAAAGCTAAAAAGAGTGAAATCTGGTTAGTATTTGGAAGATCATTAGAAATGCCCAGGATTGCAAGTTAGACTGGGAGCTTGAAAAAAAATTCCAGACATTACCAAGAAAACGTTGTGAACATGTCAATGTAGTCACAAGGAATAGAGTTTCACTTGGGGAAGTCTTTAATTTACCAATTTTAGCATGAAGAAAATTGTTTTTTACACCTGTCTAGAGGCACTAATCAATTTTCTTCTTCACACAAGGTTTTTGAAATGCATATTGGCCAGCAACCTATTAAATAAAAATAAACAAAATTAAATAGAACATTATGCATTTTCTTGCCTTTCATCATTCTGGGTGGCATTAGTTTATGTGATTGATTGGGGAAGAGAAAAAATCCTTTACTTTTTATAAGAGCTCCCCAACAAGGAGTTACTGATAGGCTGCCACTGCAGCCTGAACCTTGCTTAAATACTCTAGGCTGTGCGGATGCCGGAGAACCTGTAAGACACATCCCTTCAGTCCCTCTCTTAAAAATAAAAGTAAATAAACTGGAAGGTATTTGGATTTACTTTCTCAAAACCCAGGTGAGAACGTTATGAACTATCCTTAGAACATAACAGAGTAGCTTAAGAGCTTTGACATTTTAGAGTTAGGAAAATGACATATTCCATTGTCAAACAGTGCAGCCAAATGTCAAGGTATAAAAAGTATATATTAGAAAAAGAGAAAAGAAAAAAGAAGAAAAGACCACTGCAATCACCACGCAGCCCATTTAATTTTGAGCTAAGCTCAGAACCAGACTGGTGTGCTCTTAATTTTAGGTGACCCGTCCTCTGATGTCAGACCCAATGAATGATCTGGCCACCACATATGCACCATCCCCCCCCCCCATGTTCTTCAGGGTCAACTCCACATATAGGGCTTTTCCTGGTACAAGATTGTGCATAACTGACCATCTGTCTCCAAGAAGGAGATGCAGCACACGTGGCTCACAAGCTAAGCTGATGACAAGCCCTGTGTATTAAGAGTAGTCCAAGCAGCAGATGTAATATTTAAATAATGAAGCCAAAGAAATACAATCATTTGAAAACCAGTTCCCTGTGTCAGTAGATTATTACCAGCTGCACCTCAGTCCTTGCTGTGTGAGATTATCCATCCCGATACTGCCCCAGTAGGAACATCCACAGCAAAAGCTGGGGGTTATCCATGTATTGATGGCATCTATATATCAGTGACAAAACTGCAGAAAGAAGCATAAAGTATTATGCCATGTTTAAATATTCAAGATACGCATGCTCCAACCGCTAGATTTAAATGATTACATTGTCTTTTCATAAACTTCAGTTGAGATGGGTTTGTACGAAGACGTGTGTATTTCTAACTGCTTCTGTGTCTGCAAAATGTCGGTTTCATTTGTGTGTGTGAGTGTGTGTGCACACACAATTTAGAAAAGCTTTAACTATTATTAATATTTGTATGTATTTGCATTCTTACACTACAGTGTAGCCTCTCTGCTCCATTTAATGAGTTCTGGACCTTTATTTCAGCTGCACTGTTTCACAGAAGTTAATTGTAGAACTGTTAAGTTAAATTTAATAACTGCCCCTGCATAATTGCTACCGCTGGGTCTTGTGCTTGGTGTATGATGTGGTTTTGAAAACCGATTCTTAATTGGATGGATATTCTAGGGAGGAGATGTATTGAATAGGAATGCAAATTGCTGGACGAGCTTAATATATTGCAACTCAGATTCTAAGAGCTCCAATATCCAGCTTTCAATTATTTGAGAGAATATTGAACAGATTTATGATCTTTCCATATCCTTATTGTTTAAATACAAAAACTGAGTAACATGTACTTTACTACAAGAGCAAGAAAAAAATTTTCTGATAAAGCTTTTTCTTTAAAGAAAGCTATGGTTTTAAGGGACTATTTTTTTTTGCTCATACTTTGTTTTTGTGGCTCAGTATTTGACTGCAGCAAAGCCCTTGGTTTCATTGACTCGGCGGTTGCTGCCATAGCTACTAAAAACTGCATTATGCTGTAGAAGCCGCCAGATTCTGCATCAGCCTTCAAGGTGTTTTGTGAAGAGAGGAAGGAGTTATACAATAGGATTGCAGGAACCTGATGACAAAACATCGCAGAGAAAATAGGATTCTGTTGAAGGTTTATTTAGTGTGCTTGCTGTAAAATCAATATATAGAAACAGAAGAACCCAGCTCTTTCTACAATCCTGAAAATATTCTCAGTAATTAGATATATCTGATTTTTAAAGGTCAGTTGAATTTTTAAAATTTGCATTGTTACTTTTTCTTAATATGAATAGCAATGTTGTAATAATGCTGTCATGCTTCTTTAGTTGATGAGGAATATGTGTTAATATTCCAGAAGGGCATTCTGTATTCCACATGCTTTAGTTGGTGTGGGTTCTGCATTTTGGATTCTAAAACCAGAAGCAGAACAGAGTCTTCTGTATATCTTTCAGGTAGATTACTCATCTCTTCCAGGAGGTTGATATTAACGATGTTTGAATTTGAAAGCAGGGGAACCTGAGCAGTAAGGGACATTTTGGAGGGCTTGAAATGCAGAGATATTAAAGTGCCTGTAAGAATTTAAAATTGTTCCAATATCTGGATAGCAATATTTTATTGATCTGTAAAATAACTAGCTGTTTGGTTTAGAGGTGTGCTTTTATTGGTTACTTTACATTTATTTAGCATTTGCACTTTATATACAGAACATCTGGAAAAAGGAGCTGTAGATAAACAACTGCTTTCTACTGCTACAACTCTCTTTAAGGTTATTCTATCATTTATTATCTATAAAGCATATGTCATGAGAATCTAATTACTGAAATTCATGTTTGTGTTTTAAATGTCAGAACTGGATTGGGAGATACAGTACAACCCCAGGACATGACATTTTCTAGTTCTAGTTCTCTAGTTTTATTGCAACAGAGATTCTAATGTATTCAACAATAACTTATGTCACTGTTTGAATCGTCATTACTCACCTGCTTACTGCAATGATCTCTCTGTTCTGAATATGGAAATGACTGTTCTTGTTTTTTGACTTGAACTTGCTGACGTTATTGAAAACACCTTGCAGCAAAATGCTCATAATTTTCTCATGTGACATTAATTGTGTATCTCTGCTTTATATTGGAATATTAGTATACAATGTTATGCTTAGAAAAACTGTTTGTCAAGTCCTGACAAGGAATGTTTCTTAAAGTCCAAAATCCTTCCAATTGTTGTGGCCAATAAGCAAATGTTTTGGTAATCATGAAGAGGATCATTATACAGCCATTCAGCTTTATTTAGACACAATGTCTGTGTCTAAAATATTGGGATTTACCTGAAGGTTAAAAGCTTCTCATTTAATGTTACTAAAAACCTGTCTTCCATTACTTGGTCTAAGTAGATTTTGAATGTGACTACATTCCCATTTAAGCCATTTTTATGTTTGGAGGGAGAAAAATAAAAGAGTTCTGGCCAACTTAAAATGCTTGAGGATGATAAAAGAAACTGGAGAAAGTATGATTTTGATTCTGAGTATCCACAATACATTGAACTATAAACCTAACAACAGTGGCTGGGTTTGCACAACACGTGAAACACAGCTAGTCAGTCATATTTTAGCCTAGCATCTTGTGTTAATCCAGTCAGCAGCTTTGAACATTTCACCAGTTTAATCAGTGCAAGCCTTTACAAGAGTTCAGAAATGTCAGATAATATAAAAGATAAACCAGACAGGATTCTGGAAATACCCTTCTTAGGTATGCTCCCCAGCTATATTTCAGCTACATATAAATTACTACTTAAGCCTGATCTTCACTTGAAACCTTAATCTATCCAGGTGTTAGACTATCCAGAAAGTCTTGTGACGTATTATCAAGGTCATCTGCTTTCTGTATTCAGTATTCTAAGTATCACTTTAGTAATTCAAATGGAGTTTGGGGTAAATGTGAACAGAAATTAATAGTGTGGAGAAAAAATAGTAATATACTATTTAAAAAAAGCAAAACAGACTCTTGCTGCTTTTGGAAAGTGTTGACTCATCTGAGATTACAGACGTCTGACAAATAAAAATAAGTTCTTGCAGCAACCAGACACCACAGATTTGCTTGCTTGCTAATTCCCCCCCACCCCCGCCCCAGGCACAGAGCATAATTCAGTCCTTCTGTCACTGGACCTAACGCTTCTCCTGTTCTTTAGACTTTTAGCCGATCCTGTTCAAGACTCTAGTAGAAGGTTTAGGACAGAAGATGCCAGATAGAATGAGAAGGGGTTTCAGAAGGGTCTGATGTTTGAGGGGAGGAAAGTGAAGACAATGTGCTTGTGCATAAAGAATCATTCCTTCTCTTTTTTAAAAAATGAAGCTTTTCAACCCCAAGGGTTTATCAGTTCACGCATCAGTTCACCCAGCAGAATGGCTGCCATCAGTGAAACGGGAGAGGAAATTCCCCTTCTTCAATCTCCTGAAGATCCCCACAATCTGCTATGGATTTGGAAGAGGGGGCAAGGGGTTACAGAAAGAAGAGAAGTCCCAGTGTTGTGAAAGTTTACTCTTAAGAGGAAACTACCCATAATGCTTACAACCACCAGGTGTGATAATTGGAACTGCATCTAGTATTAGCATAGTATAACAGATTATTACATTTTATGCAAGCTTAGAAGTGCAATTCTCCCTAATTAAAGTTGGACTTAAGAATAATTATAGTGATTGCCAATTTTTTTCCAGCCTTACAAAACTGTTTACGTGAGTGATATAAATACAGTATCAGATTTAGATATTTAGATGGTAGCATTGTTAATTCATTATCTTCTAAATGTAATTAGGTAATAAAATGTTTCCTTGGGGTGAACCTAAGCAGTTAATGTGCTTGGAAGCCACATACAATCTACTTTGGTTGATTATATGACTGGTGGCAGAACAGACAATGGAGGAGGTTTATTAACCTTCTGTTAAATGTTACCAATGGGAATTCTGACCTTACTATGACATCACGCATATGAACTAGTGTACTCTCAGTCACACAGATGCATTTTATCCTTTCAGGAGCATCTTTGCTGTCCTTCACCAGTACTGACATCTTTCATTGCACAAATAGATATTTTCATTTTTTTCTGATTTAAACACTTACCTGATATAAAAGGATAGAAACATGTTTCCTTCTTTATTTAAAATATTTTTCAAATTTTCTAGCAATGAACAGAGAAATTTCGCACATGAAGAATGCCAGCCAAAGTTGAAAAACCATGAGATTCTTCAAAGCAGGGAAATTCAACAGCAGCAACAATATATTGAAGAATTACAGCAGCAGATCTTGGATGGGCAGGTCAAAGCTGAGCAAGAACTGGAGCATGATCAGGCAGTAATTGATCAGCAAATCAGAGAAAGTATGGGATGCTGAGTTTTCCTTTCTATTTCTTATTATTACCTTACATTCTTATTTTTAACACCAGTGATTCGTATGTCAGGTTACTAATTTTACTTTTTTCCTTTGATCACTATTTTCACATAATTCTTAAAATAGGGTAGAGTTTAAATGAGCTGCTTAGATCCTTTCAAGAATTCTTTAATATATATTGACCTTCTCAAAATGAATGACTTAAGAAGTTTCTAGTCTTTAAACTGGGATTTGGCTGCAGAACCTGTAAATCAGGTTGTACAGGATGCTTCCTTTTCTTAATCTTTAGGCCAAAAGAGTTTCTTCAATAGAGTAGAAACCTCTTCCACCTCAAAAGCTCAAATAATCATCTTTCTGTGCAATCGTTGAGTATCATTGTTGCCCTTAGATGCAACTGTTTTGGTGCCATTTTCCTCAGCTGGAGGTCCGTTTTCTTCCTAGTTTAATCCCAATGGTAATCCTAGCCAATTTGTGGGCTGGTGTCACTAAAAGATTTGAAGGGAGGAGGAAATTAAGCTAGTGCTTTCTGAATTACTTGTAAAGAAATCATCCAGGGAATAATTCAACGTGTTTTTGTCTTATCGCTACAGTCAGTGAGTAAGCATATGCATAACATCTTTGTTGACACTGATTGAATCAAAAAGCCACAAGTACATTCCACCTTGTGGCATCCTATTCAATCTCATTCTAGTTTGAAAAGAACATTGATGAGCTTTCTTTGAGTATAGTTTTCAAACCAGCTGTGGATTCAGCTAATAGACCTGATACCCAGCCCATAATTGGCAAATCAGAATGTCATGGGGAATTTTGTTAAATGGTGTAAAGTTACAGAAGTACAGATTCTGCTAGAAAGTTAAGAATAACTTCCTAATGATAAAAGCAAGGTGATAGTAGAGCCAGGGACCAGGAGAGATGGTTTACTCCTCTTTAGTAGTTATGTTCAAACAAATACTAGATACCCACCTGCTGGGGATACTGTGGTTTGTATTCCTGTATTGCATAGAGGCTTGGGTTTGGTAACCTAAATGGCATCTTCTAACTCTATGATTTTGTGACATTGTTTCCATATCCTGGCATTCATCTAAAATGTTCTTTCCTTTCCACTCCTCTTCACTGAATGGAAAGAATGGAAAAGAAGACATTACTCCCCAGACTCTGTTCAGTATGGTATCTTACATCTTTCTGAAGGCCCAGAGCTCTTGCTTTTTCCTTAAGTTTTGTAATACAATATCCAGCTCAATACACCCAACATTCAGTTATATATTTTATCATGTTCATTTTGTCACTCATTAATCTAAAGAATGTGCATAATGTTATGACTATCTGCCATAGATCATTATGCTTTAAATATGCTAGCTTTTCATGTACTTCAAACGCTTTAGAACCTTTTCTGTTAAAAAAAAACCCCTATTTTTCAAAAGTCACAAAAGACAATAGCTTATGTTTCAAGTTATAAGCAGTTCCAGAAAATCTAAGATCAGCAAAGATTAAAGCTCCAAAATCAGATAGCTATTTTGCTTTTTTTTTTCATATTTTCTCTCATACCTCCTTCTATTGCAAAATAAGTAATTAATTCAGAGTAGTAGCTTACGTTTTTCTAGTAGAAAGTAACAAAGGGTATATGCTTGTTTAACTTGGTTTCTTTTTGTCCTTTACAAAATACTGATACTGATACTGATGCCAGAAACCTGTCTTGCCAGCTAAGTGCTATTTGCAGTTTAGGTGTTGTTAATAATACAGAGAATAAATGCTAGTGAGATTGTGTAGAGCAGCAAAATTTCAAGGCCCTTGGCTTCATTTCAAAGGCAGTATGGTCAATAGATCACAATTCATGAATTTACAAAAGCTATTTTGTACTGATTGACTGATTGAATTTACCACTTATCTCAGCCATGTGACTAAGCGGTTCACAATACAAAATCTATAAAAACATGTGGAGTATCATAAAAACAATATTATGATGCAGCCAAAGCCCTAAAAGATTATCTCTCAATCAAAAAACCATAAGGGCTTTATCAGCAGCTTGGTCCCAATGCCTGAAGGAAAAGCCAGGCCTTCAAGGCTTTCTAGAAGACTAAACAGATGTTGGGGGCCATCTGAATCTCAGGGAGGATGCTGTTGCCTGACCTTATCTGATTTCTTAAAATAAAATGAAAAAAAAAAACCCTAAATACATGAAATGTAATTCTATAAGAAGATTGTGAAAACTTATAGTATAATATATCTGTTAGCCTTTACAACACCATAGGACTTTCCATTGTTTTTGCTGCAAAAAATTAACATTGATACTTTTCTGGATCAAATCAACATAGAAGTCATTTAACTGTATATTAGCTCTTATTTAATAGGTCCTATCTGTTGATAATTAGGATAATGGTAAAACCAAGACCACTTCTTAATTTTTGCATTTATTTGTTTGTTCGTAGACCAGCAGTGGCTCATTGATGAAAAGAAACGTCTGGCTAACCAAGAGCAGCGGGAGTCTGCTGCGCAGACCGAGGTCAAATCATATGCTGAAGCTGGAGTTCAGCATGAATCAGAATTGAAGATTGGCCCTTCCTTGACACAGCAGAACAAGAAGAAATTAGTGCAGCTAGAACTTTTACGAAAATACTCTTTGAAGAAAGCAGAAACGCATTTAAGTCGGAAGAAGGTTAAACTACAGTTGGAGAAGATTGTGAAGAAGCAGAAATTGCTAGAAGCAAAGAAAAAACTGGAACGGTTAGAAGCTACTTGCTGGATCAGCAAAGACAGTGTGAAATCTCTGTGGTTCTTGAACCAAGATACCAGCATTGAATCTTGGGATTGCAAAAGTTCATGGCCAGGATCAAAACCAGACTCTTTGCAATGCCAAAGGAAGACTTGCTTAAAACTTCAGTCACCACAATCCAGGTAATTAACATTTATACTAGCTTTTAATGCATGTGTGCATGTATGTATTTGCAATGTTTGTATATTGTATAAGCCTCATGGACTCCCACCAGTTTACAAAAGTAAACATAAAGTCCATAAAGGATTACTAAAATCAGTTATGCACATTCACAGCATGACTCCAGAGTCCATAACAAGCATTCACACCCAGTTCCTAAAATCATACGTTAATAAAAAGTAATTAAAACCTCTGGAGAAAAGCTCAGACTTTCTAATTGTCATTGGGGAGGTCACCATTCAGATCTCCCTGGGAAGGGCTGGAACATAAGCTAAAAAACACCATGCTGTTTTCTCCCCACAGCTCACACAGCAAGAGGGACTCTCAACATGCCACTGCTCCAGATAGTTAGCCAGTTTAATGAGAAGAAGTTAATCTTCCAAGTACCTAGGCACTAACTTACGTAGGACCTCTTAGGTGAAAACTAGCCTCTGAATGGTACTGTGAGGCCTATTGGAAGTTAAAGCAGTGCCCACAAAACCAGTGTAATATGGCATTGGAGTTCTCGCCTGCCAACAGGTCAGGACTTTGCTTGTGGGAAGCTGGCAGGGAAGTCACAAATGGTGATCATGTGACCGTGGGACACTGCAAGTGTTGTGAGTGTGAGCTGGTTGCCAAGTGCCCAGATCTATCTATCCCTGGAATCAACAGGCTAAACCAAATCCCAGATAACATCGCAAGACACTACTCCATTCACCTCTTCTGTAAGGCCAACAGGGATGTCCATATCTCAGTGGGAAGGCTATTCCATGAGACAGACATCATGACAGAGAAGACATGTTTCCTAGGGCCCATCAAGTGACACTGCTCCACTGATGGGATCTGGAGCATGCCCACTCCGTCTGATCTGGTGGGACGAGCAGAAGCCATCAGGGAGAGGCATTCCTGCAAGTAGCCTAGCCCCATGCCACCTAGGGCTTTAAAGGTGACACCCAGCTCTTAAATACAGGCATTCTTTAAGGCAACATAAAAGCTTTTAATATATTATGGGTTATTTGTATGTGATTAATGAAGGGCAATTGATTAATTGACTAACATTTCTTCTAGTGAAGAAACCCTCACAGATATCCTGAGATAAATTGTGCTTTCATATGAAAGATCCTTACGGTTCTTGTTTCTAATTATGCAGAATTATGTATTTCAGTTCTTACTTTAATGTTTCTGGAAATGAGTAAACTAGAAAGACATATGCAATAAGTACCAAATGGTGAGGTGGGTTAAAATCCTATCAACTGGTAGCAAATACTATTAAAAGAAACAAGATAAAAACTTCAAATAGTACAATATGTAGTTGGGGGTGACATGTTTAAAAGTAAAAGCCTCAATTCACTATCAGAAATCCTCTGGGCTTCATAAATCAATCCATAATATGTTAAGATTGCCTGGTCAGGCAAACCATAGTCATAGAGAGCTTCTAAAACTTCTTACTAGTTCCAAGAACTAAAATCAGCCCTTTCTCTGAAGCTCTTCTGTTGGTTAGACAAATAGTTTGGGGATATGAAACTGAATAAAAGAATGAGGAAAAATGCTGCATTGTGAACTTAGTTTGTGTATATGCATATTCTTTAGGCCCTCCTGGTTTCTTGTCTGTCTGTCCATTCACAGAGCAGTCTCTTAACTCCTGAATAAATGTCTGTAGTGGTGTAATTGCCGTACAAATTCACAGCAAAGTATGGAAAACTTATTATTAAATGGCTGATTTTTTTTCCTACAGTTTTTTCTTGAAGAGCAATCCCTCTGAGTTATCTACCTCAGCACATAACTACACATGCTCCATAATCAATCCACCAAGGAAATCTCTGTCTGCAGAGTACCTTCCCAGAGCAGTCCAAGAACTTTCCAGAAGAAATATTCATGAGGAAAAAGATGGATCTTTCCTAGCCCAGGAGCAGCTAATCAAAAAACAGGACACCTCTTTCAGAAATAAAGGGATAGTGGAAAATAACCATAATAATACAGAAGTCATTTATTTTGGTAAACATAACCAAACAATGGAGAGATCAGATAATAGCTTAAGACCAACCAGATCTAAAGCCCAGATTTCAAAGGCCTGTACTTCTAATCATTTTAAGGAAAAGCATGAACCTGAAACAAAGAAGGAAGGGTCTGAAATTAAAGAACTAGGAGAATTAATTCAGCACTCAGGGGAGGACTTAAAAAAGAATGCAGCTCAGGAAGCCAGTAAAAAATTTCAGGTGGATAAAAGAAAAAAACACCAAAGTTCACTTCCTGGAAATTCTATTAAGAAACTTAAAAAATCATCAATACATGGTAAGCCATTTCTACAGCAACTGACCCGAACCCCAGAGAACTTTAAAAAAGGTTCATTGGACAAACAATCATTAGAACAGCATGAATTCTTAAGGGTAGCACCTTCAGCAAGAAGCCTTAATAATCTAAACAGTCAAGTACCACTCTGTCATGGAAAAAGGAGATGGCATAGTGCTGAAGTGCTAAATGATAGAATCTCGAAAACAGGCCCCGATCTACTGACCAGCTGGCAAGAAGATGAAGACATTGAGTTTTCTGACACAGATAGTACTTATTCTGTGGATTCTCTTTCATGTGCTAATCCAGAAATATTGACAGGACAGTTGAATCATCTGGAGGAATCAGCTCCAATAGACATTGTGGAATTAGAGGGTTCAGAAAGCGATGACAGCCAAATGTCACAAGATTCACTTACAGAAAAAGAAAACAAAACCGAAAGCCAAGATATAAAGGATTTCCCTGAAATACACCAGGAACCTGTTAAGCTTTGCAAAGACAATAATGATCAGTCTCTCTCACAGTTAACAAACACATCCACATCAGGCAATCTGACTATCAATGCGAGAAGCTTTTCTCTGGATAGCTTAGGTGATGCTGATGAGGTGTCAGATCTTGCAGAAGAATCTAAATTAGACTCGTACGATGAAGTGCCAGCAGAGGTTTTTTGGAAGTTGCGAAACCTGAGGTCAGACTCTGCTGTGAGCAACCCACAGAACAAGTTTGAGATCTGTAATGAAACTGTAAGAAAATCTAGTGCGTTGAGTCTCCATGCAGGTTCTTTTTATCTAGATGCCAGCTCACAGTCTAGTTCTGTTTGTGATCAAACATTAAACAAGATGAAAATCAGTTTTTCAGAGCAAGGTGACTCGGTAGATCAAGTGTCACAGATTGCCGGTGAAAATCTTCCAGTTTTGACAGATGCTTGGCTGTCCAACAATTTGGAAAATCAAAAGAATAGACCCATAATAACTGTTCCTTCATCTCAAGACTATTCAGAATTTCAGGTTGCTCAGATGTACCCTGTTAATAAGTCAAAGTACTGGATGAAGAAGGAAGATGTAAGACAATCAGCTGCTGAATTATCATTTGTTTCTTGCTATAAAAAACCTCATCAGATTTCTCATGAGCCAAATAAGATTGAAATGCTAATTTCATCTACAGCACCATCAGTACCTTTACCGGAAACGAGGAAACATCTTGAGGTTGAAGCTCCAGAAGACACATCATCATTTTCTTTTTCAACCAAAAATACATCATTTGGTCATGTTTCCACATTTCCTACAAAGCTGCATTACTGTGAAACTGCCTCTTTACCTACATCTAATTGTCAGCAGCCTAATAGCTTATCTGAAGCAAGATCCATCAGTGAATGGAAAGAAACATCCAGCTGTTTGAAACCAGCCTCAGAGTCTGTTTCTTCACTTTATTCTGAGATTTTCAGAGATCAAGATTTTAAAAATAACCTCTTAACTTCTGTCCCAAATGCTCCTATTTTACAGAAAGAAGGAGTTTATGTAAATACCGGTTTTGAAGAATGTCTCTTTAGAACGATTGAAAAGGGAGATGCCAATTCTGATTCAGATAGTAGCATAAGGGACTCAAAAATAGTTGAGTTACACCACATAAATAAAGTGGCCTTTCACTCCAGGGACCACTTTGCAATATTAATGCAGACCCCTGAAACTGAAAAAGTCAGTATGCAAGAGCACAGGGATGTCCTGACAGAATCTGCCTTAGAGGTTCCCTTATTTAGAGAAGTGGAGGAAGAAGTACCTCGAGGTGAAGAATGGGATTCAGAAAATAAATATACATTTCAGACAAAAGGCTTAACGAGGGATTCCCCTCCAAGCTTAAAAGTTGATTGTTCTGGAAGTAAAGTGAGTCAGAAAGCTTTGCCAACTTTTCACGCTGAAAATATGATGGAGAAGAGCAGCGAGGGGGACAACTGTAACATGAATTCTGCTTCCAAGCAAGGAACAGCTTCATCTGTTTCTGTGGATTTTGTGATTGACAAATCAGTGCATTCCAATGTAGATGTAAATGAGAAAAAAACTGATGCTTCACTTGAGTGTTCTTGCAAAATAAGTGAAAAATTCACTCCTCAATTCAATTCAGATATGTGTTATGAAAACATTCCTAGAACTAAGGATGTTTGTGAGATGAGATCTTCTTTCATGGAAAATAATAGCAATCTCTCAGATCAGAAACACACTCTTCATAAAGAGATAGATAATTTTCTTGCGTCTAACTCCCTCATTCACTCTGGAAAAACCAAAGCTTGTTGCACACCTACATTAAGAGAGCAGAAAGAACCTCCAGTTTTACATTATTTATTTAATGAAAATGATTGCTTGGGAGCAGGAGGACTGCATTCTAGTCTATCCAGAAATAACACTGGAAAGGACTCTAGAAGCACTTTGGGAGAAGATGGAATGTTATCAGTCACAACTTCTCAACAACTCAGGCTATATATCAATAAAATGTCTAATAATCTAAAAGAAGAATCCAGAAAGTTGCCAGAAGAATCCAAAGTTGCCAGAAGAATCCCTACAACTTCAGAGAGAAATCAGGCTGAATACAATAGCAAGACTATAAACTCTGAAGAACTCAAAAAGTTAGTAATTAGTATCAATAAGCTGGAAAGTGATATTTTAGAAATGAAATGTAGTCAGAGTAAAAGTTTACAGAATTACTGTACAGTTGAACCTTTAGAAAGTAGGAGAAACTCTGAAATCTCTCATTTGATTCAGGAACCGAACAGTGATAATGAGAAATGTTACAAGAACCAGTCTGTAATTGTAGCAGTAGAAGATGAAGAGAAGGTCCAGCTGACTGATTCTAGTGAAAAAGATCAGACTGCATCAAAGCTGGCAATGAAGTGTGAGAATAATACCCACATACCCAATGTTAATCATAATAAAGTCCAAGAAAATGAAAAACAAAGCATTTGTCCTGCAGACATAAAAGAAAGCTCTAAAAGCACAGTAGAGTTTCCTGACACACATGAACAACCAGTTAAAAATGATATCAGTACAGAAAATATCCATGGTTCTGAACCATCAGTGACTGCAGTAACCATGAAGTATGGGCAAGATACTAATTTAAACTACAATAAAGAAGATAAAAAAAAATGTAGTAACAATGAGATCTATTCAAAAGAAATCTTAACAAAATATCCTAATACTATTCAGGAAGATAAAGTTGATGGGGGTATAATTTGTTCTCAAAGAGTGGATAAAGAACAAAGAGATGCAAGAAAAAATGAGGGATGTAAAAATTCAGAATTAACTGGGTTACAGCTTGCTGAAAATACTGCATTGCTGCAAGAGAATCAGACTCAGTGTTTTACTAATTGTGACAACAGTAATGGAACTAAACTTGATATGGCCGAAATACCAGAAACATACTTCACTGCTTCTAAATTGGAAGAACAAGATGATGAACTTGATTTACCTGAAATACATCTTAATAGTATTGAAACACATGACGAGAAAGGATCAGTAAATCTTTGGAATCATATGAGTGAAGTATTGAAAGACAATAATGATAGTGCTGATTTTGGTGATAATAAAGGTATCACTGAGCAGTGTGGAATTAAAAAAGAACCCAAACAAATTAGTGATGTTGAAAGTATTAATGCATCTCAACCTTCCACAGGTTATTCTCAGAACTCTATTTCAGAACACTGTGATACAAATTTTGTTGGAAACAGTCTTGATGCTTATAAATATATACCAATTCACTGCCTTCCTAAGGAAAATGGGCCAGTACATTTAATAACTCCAGGACAATTATGTATACCTGAGGTTCTATCTCAAACCATCAAGGCACAAAACATGCATACTTTCAAAGGAGAAAAGAAAGAGAGTATTTTGAAGAAAATAGTGGAAATCCAGAACAGGATATCTTCCAAGGTCAAGCTTTACCAACAAACAAATGCAGTTACTGCTTTTCAGATAGTGATGCAGAATTGCTACCTCACATGTTTTCAAGGAATGATACTGATATTATTGATAACTTAATGCCAGTTCACCAAAGAGATGCACTAGAAAATACAAATCAAGATTATGGTTTAACTTCAATCACCGTTAAAAGGTTTTCCCATGATCCTGCACAAAGTCCTTTGTTACAAGGAAAAATTACAAATGGAGAAAATAGGAACAGTGATTTTACTAGAGCAAATGATTTGACAATGACATTGAGTAATAATGTCTGCAATGAAGTACTTCAGTATTATGAAACACAAATAGAGAATGATGTGGAAGCTGGAACACTATCTCCTGTGGACAAAGAGGAAATAAATAAATCTGTAGAGGATTTAATGTTAAATAAAACTTCAAATTATTCTGGATCTGAGCAGAGTCCTAATAAAGAGGGCACATATTCCAAATTTATGGAATGTAATAAATCATTAGATTATGCTTCTGTTGATGTCGCACAAAACAAAGTTATCCCTCACAAAAGATTGGATTCTTCTGTAAGTCACAATGTAGGCAAGTTTCATGAAGAAGGCAAAAAGTCAGACCAATTGTTAAATTCATTCAATATACTTCAGAAAGAAAGTGCTACTTTAGGCTTAATAATCTCAGAAAAAATATTCTCCACTTCAGCATTCAGAGATGAGGTAGAAGAAATGACATACGCTTCTCAAGATCGTTTTAAGAATAGTGTCAGTCAGAAAGAGGTGGATTCATTAGTGCAATATAATCAGGAAAATAAATGCCTTGTTACCAAGTACATTGAAAGAGAATGCAAATCCAATATTGAAAAATGTAATGAATTGGTGGGATGTCAAGCAGAAACCACAGAAATTTGTGCATGCAGAACTTCTCATGATTTCTGTATAGAACATAACTCTGTAGCAACCTCTGATGGTGAGAATCTTTCAGATAATTCTGACAAACCCATGTGGGAAAATACTAATTTTATGGACGACTATGGTTCAGGATGTAATGTGAATTCTTATTTGTCTGATTACTCTGCTAGACACTTGAGCGCATTAGCTACAGATGATATTTATTTTGAGGAGAGTAAATGTCTTAACTCGAAAGTATCTGATTTTCCTGTATCAAGTGCAGATAATTATGCTTTACATCAACAAGGCAGGAAAATTGATAGAGACAGTGATAGCATAAAAAACATTGAAGAGATCTATCAGAACGAAGAACAAGATCAAAATGATTTTCCTGAATGTATTTGTGACCAAGAAAATGCATCTTTACAGTCTGAGAATTACATGACTAGGACAGAAACAAAATTGCCTGAAAGAAACTTGCATCCTCCTCAACATTTTAATCAAAGAAGCAGTTGTGAAACAACAGTACCTCCTAAATGTTCTATGGAAGATTTTTCAGCTTGCACTTTATTTAAACATGACAGCACTCTTGAGATCCCAAAGTCTCAAGAGTGTTCCACATGTTCTATATGTAGTTCATATGCCAGCTCACAGCAAGATGCCTTTCTGGCTTCCAGTTTGTCAGCTACATTTCAACTCCAAGAAAGTAACTTGCTTTGTCATCAGGATTTACCAGATATTTGTTGTTCATCTTCAGAAACATCTCTTAAGAACAACGTAAGTCACAGTGAGTCTCAGATATCTGCTGCTTTAAATCCTGCTCCATTAAACTGTCCTTCACTTGTTATCAATGAGATGCAGGAAGGCAAATGTGAAGATTCTGAAATTCGTAACCCGCAGCTGTGTGCTTCAGAAACAGTTCTTTTTCTTGCAAAAGAAAATGAATGTCTTCCATTATCTCAAAGAAACTCAATTTTAGATTGCAATGGAATACATAATTTTAAGTCTGAAAAAAAATACCATGAAGTAGCTGATTGTCAGGAACCTAGGAATATTGTTTTACCACAAAAAGAATGCTTAGAAGATAGTGACAAAAGTTTGTATCACACTTTAAATACAAATCTTGACTTACAAAGAGAGCAGAGTACACTACATTTAAATAGCAGTGTGGAATCAATAAATATTCCTACTACAAAAATAGATAACCATCATACAACTGCATGTAAGATGATGAAGGCTGAGAGAGAGATTTTGACATCAGACCAACTAGACATTTCAAAAAAGAATGACAGTATCCCTTCCAGATATTTATCAATAAATAACTGTTTAACTTTGCAAGAAGAACCTGCATCAGCAATACATAAGCATAAAAATAACATTTCTACTTCACAGAATGCAAAGAGAATGAAAAGAGATAGACAGTGGCCAGATTTGCAGAGTCATAGCTTATCAGCACCAATGATTGCCACATCTTTTGTTGAATGTGCTTCAGAAACTTCTGAAGTAGACATTTCTGCGCATCCAGCTTCTAAGTCATTACAAGACTTAAATATGAGCATTGAGCCTCCCTCTCCAACTGGGGATGACATGTCCAGTGCTGAAAACTTATCAAAATTAAAGACAGATAATGTCCCAATTAAGTATAAACCCCAATTTCAAAAGAAATCTGCTGAAGCCCATGGAGACTATAAAGAACAATCTCAAGATATTCCTTCTTCAGATTCACCCCTGGTTCATTGCTTAAAAGCTGTTATTTACTCTACTGGTAATCCTACAGATATAGAAGCAAGCAAATACTCAAATAGTATTACTTCACTGCATGGTTATCATATGAGCAAAAATGAAGAACTGAGATATCAGTTAGAGGCAACAAATGAACTGGATCAAGAGAATAATGATTCCATGCACTTTAATTCAAGTGACATAAACCCTTATATTCACCCATGGCAGCAAGATGAATGTTGCAAGATTGGTTGGAAACAATATGTCTTTGGAAGCGCCAGTGATGTTTCCAGCAATCCTCCTCCACTGAGGTTGGATAATCAAACTGTTACGAGATGTTCTAGTGTGGACAATGGCTTGAACTCTCAAAACTCTCCTTTCCAGTCTCATCTCAGTTCTTATGCTAATGCAAGAATGTTGTCCAGCACCCTTAGTAGCACAGAAGATCTCCAAAGGTGGGATGTTGCAAGGGAAGGTTTTGAATCTACATATTCTGATGGAAATGGCAAACTTGATACAAATATTTCTCAGGATGAACTTGAAACCACACCAGAAAATTGCATTTCCAGTTGTGAAAATGTTCTTCCAGATATGAGATGCACTCAACAATCTGAAAATACTTCCACACAAGTTGATGAAATTGTTCTACTCTACCCTACTAAAGCAGATTTATCATCTAATAAGCAGCAAGAAATACTTATTTGTGAACGAGAAACACAGACAGAAGCTCCAACAAAGCATAAAAGACAGAAGAGACACCGCAGAAGCTATACAGACATATCTGCAAGAAAACCTGAGCCAAGCAAGAGTTCATTCCAAGAACCTTCTTCTTGGTCAAGTGTGCAAGACATTTCCATGCACCTTTCACAGCTTCTTCACAACACCTCTGAGCTGCTTGGAAATTTGTCCTTACAAAGAATAAAAGATAATGAACCAAATTACCATAAAGCAATTGAACAGAGAACAAGCTTTGGTATGTTTGATCGCTATACTCAAACAACAGAAGACATAGGCATTCAAACTGATATTTTAGGACATCCTCAAAATACAATCAAGGACAGACAAATTAATGCTAATATGAAAAATGACCTAGTGAAATCTCAGGAAGTAAATGTTATTGTGAAGCTAGTACATCCAGATACTATAACTCTACCTAAGGAAAGAACATCAGAAAGCAAAGGAAGGAAATTGTTGAGTATGCCTGACATAAGAAGTCATGATGTTGATACTCAAGAACATTATTATATGCCTCAATCTACCTTAGGTATACATTCCAGTTCTTCTTCAGAAGTGCCTAAAACACCATTAAATATTTCAACAGCACCTGCCTTCAGTAGTCTCAAAGCGTATCCAGCTGTATCCTCATTATATAATTCTAGACTTGAATCTTCAGCTACTGCAGTTAGTAATCCTGCTTCTTTGTCTCCCAACTGCTACTTTCAAGATAAGAATGCTATTGATAAAACTAACATTCCAGAAGCAAGGGAACTATATTGTAAAAATAACTTGCTGGTTGACCGAGCCTCTTCCCCAATTTTGATTCTTAGTGCAAGTCCAGTCAACCAGCAACCTACATCAGAGATGTTGACTAATTTTTCCAAAGCATTTGCTGGGCAACAGGTGAGAAGTACTGAAAATTCAGGAACTGGTTCTAAAAAAAAAGACTCAGATCTACAATATAATATGAGTTCTTGGGAGCCATGTGTTGATACTTCTTCACATGCTGAGGTGGACAGTGAGTCTACCACACTTAGAGAGAGCAAGGATATGCATAAAAGGTCTGGAAATGGCTTGGATGGGAACATGACCAAAGTGCTTCCCAAAAAAGGTATTTCAAAACAAAAGCACAGATTTACCTTTGACACACGTACTGCAGTTCACACCGAAAGACTTTATCACTCAAGCAGTACTTTAGAACTTTCTAGCCATGGGGAATATGTAATTGATGATCATGGAGAGACCCTTCCCCCAGAACATTCATTTCATCAGATACAAACTATGAGGAGGGCAAGAAACTTCTCAGGAGGAATCAAAAGTGGAAACTCCATTAGAAATTCAGAATGCTCACCAACTAAAAAGTCTTTACCAACATCTTTAAATGAGCATCATATATCTTCATACATAAAATCTGATGAGACTCATGAATGTGTTCCTGATTCTTCTTCTCAACCATGCCATCAGACCTGGAGAAATGAGAAGGGTGGCTCTTTTCTCAGGTCAGAAATGAGTGACATGCAAGATGAAGATGATGATGGTGATGGTGATGATACAAATACAGGATCTGATACTGATAGTGAATGTAATACTGAAATTTTGCTAAATGGGAACACTTCATTAGTAAAAGCCCACAGACATCGAAGCTACAGTCTTCGTGACCTGCCCATGCACAACAAATTCAGCAACTGGTGTGGTGTGAAGGGAGCTCCTCACTCTTCTTTAACTAGCCTGACACGGAGTGCTAGTGATATCCACAGCCAAACAGAAAGGAAGTCAGTTAACACAAGAGCAACTGAAATAGAAGAGAGATCTCTGCTTAGTGAAAGAACAGCCAGAGAGATTGAAAGACTACGAAGAGAGCGTGCCCAGGTTATGTCTGGAATACATTTAGATATGAGTCAGCAACCTCTGACTGTGGAACTCACTGAAGCAAAGCTAACCTATGGGATTGGGGAAACTGATGCACAGCTGAGGATTCTTCAGAATGTAGTAGGCGAGGATGTGACATCAGTGCCCATAAAACAGCAGCTTTATAAACGGTAATTACTTTATTTTCTCAACATTGCAGATTAGCTAAAAACAGCAGATACCACCATCAACAGAAGATAAATAGAAAATGTTTATATTGCAGGACAGAAGTAGATATTATGAAACTTAAGCAGCTGCTGGTAATCATATCTTCCAAAGAGTTTTCCCTCTTGGTAATGTGTAATGAAACTTTCCCAGAACCATAAATCAGAAGGAGTAGCACCTTTTCAGACTGGCAGCTGTTATTAAAAGGCATAAGCTTGCATGAACCTAACATTTTATTACTAATTTCTTACTAGCAACCAATGAGGAGGAGGGGGAAGGCCTGAAGTATAGTATCATCAGAACACATATTCAAATATTATTCAGCATTGCCACCTATCACGGACCTAGCAAGTAGAGTAAGACAATGGCAGGGGATTCTGAGTTATCCTTCTCTCTGACAAATTAGCCATTATATATTCCAATAACACTGGAAGTGTTTTATAGCTATAACACACTTTAGCAAATAGGCTGCAGCCCAAGGCATGCTGATCTGGAAATAATGTGTATTAAACACAGTGAGTTTATTTCAGACTTAGATTCAGCCTGCATGCTAGAAAGGGTTTTATTCCTTCCATCTGATATGCCATCTTCTCTCTTCTATTGGTCTTTTAACATTAAATTTTTTTTTTAAAAAAACTTTATTTTAAGTACCCTCTTTTTTCCCTATCCCCATAATAGGCACAAGAAATCAATTGAAATATTGAGGAAACAGAGAGAAGAGAGACTTCAGTGCTTCAGAAGGAGCCGCAGTCTTAGTCCACAAAAGCATCTGAGTCTCTTGCAAACCCTGGACAGTAACCAGAGAGAAACAGATCTCCCCAGCCGACGCCGTGAATACCTCCAGCAGTTGAGACGAGATGTTGTAGAAAATACAAGGTAGGGATGACCCGGGGCCATTTTGAACACTCATTTGATGGGAGGCACTGAGCATAAGTCTGAAAAAACAAGATATGTTTGAGCTATAGCTAAGTCAAAAGTCTCTGATTTGTTTTGAGCCATTTGATTGTTTTTTTTTTCAATTTATTTACAGTTTATTGATCTCTTCATAAGAGAAAGGCATAATCCATGTTGCATCTTCTATCTCTTGCTTTTTATTCATAGAGGTATTCTTAGTAAGATATAGACTTTCTTCCTAAGTTGATCTGAGTGAGGTCTTCAGGTTCATGTTAGAGTAACTCAGAAATAAGATGCCTTTCATTTAGACCCACTGGTAACTTACCTGTGAATTCTTTGTAATGTCCCTTTTCAGTATGATCATACAGTATGGGTTTCACTACTATATTTTTTCATTTTAGAATCTTAAAAAGATACTTATTTATTGTGCATTGTCCTGGGTACCTCCTAGGCAGAGGATGCACTTTATAAATATAATAAATAAGCAAATATTTAAATAAACAGCCAAACCAAGAAAGAAGGGTTTTTTTACTTTTAAGCACATCTAAATTTTCCTTCCCCCGTCGAGTGGTTTGTCTTTGGGAACAAACAAATAATTTTTAAAAAGCCTCATCACCATTTGATGACCTTCATTCCTGTGATATCATGTGGGCTGTATTTGGGGTATGGAGAACTAGCTGTGCCTCTTTTTCCATTGGGATAATCTGGGAATTGTGCTGCATGAGAAAATATCATCTATAACTGAGAAAATTGGGCTGACCCTTTCCAGTCATTGAAGCTCAAGGCCAGCGTCAAAGGCAGCTTTTTGCAAACAAGACAGAGCTTGTGCTCAGGTACTCATGAGAGGCCTTTGGTCTTGCTTCCCTATATTTGCTCCCCAGTATCTTTGAATCAAGTAAGCAGTGATGGCAGCAAGGAGAAAGAGCAACACCCTCTGCTCAGTTTGCTCTCTCTGTCCAGGAAGTTGATTTCTAGTCCTCCCTGAGGTATGGAAGCCAGCTGGATGATTTTGGCCCAGTTGCTCTCTCTTCCCTAGACTTAGAAGTTGAAAAACATCATTTGGCCAACCTGCACCACACCAGCGTGGTAGATTTCAGTCTATAACCATCAGTGAAGAGGCCTCCATCCTGCAGTGATGATCATTCATTCAGGCTGATAATAATTCCTATTTTAATTCCTTTCTAAGTGTTAGAAAGTAATTCTCATTCTAACATTTACCATTTTTAAGAGACAGAATTATTATTATTATTTATTCTTCAAAGCATTCATACAGTGCACTTCATTTGGAAAAGCTTACAATGTGATTTACAAATCAGTACACAGAACACCATAATGACATTTTTAAGGGTTCAGGAACCAAAAACCAGGATCCAGCATCCTTCAGAGATTGAACAGTTGCTTCGAGATTATCAGAGAGCACAAGAAGAGACCAAAACTGAAATTGCACGAGCAAGGGACAAGCTCCGCGAAAGAGCTGAGCAAGAAAAGAGGCGCATTCGAGAACAAATATATTCTCAACTGCAGAAGGCAAGTGTTAAATTATTTCAGCTAGTTTCACAGTTTGTGTTAATTTAAGGCTGCATCTCATGATCTGGGCATGCCTGAAGGTACATAATTTACCAACCTTTTTGGTACATTATGTGATAGAATCCTTTGCAGCTGAGTGTGAGAAATGTAATTGTTTGAAAAACACTTTGAAGACAAAGTCACATCTGTCTTAATTTATGTTCTAAATTTGAGGTAGTTCCATTATTAGAAAAAATTGGAGGAAGAGGAAGGAATGCAACAACACAAATGAGGTTGTATAAATCCTTAAAAATCTCTTGAAGATATTTTTTTTTATTATTATTATTATTATTATTATTATTATTATTATTATTATTATTTTAATTGG